AAGGATAATGAACAGGAGGGCGAGGAGGATGAGGAAGAAGGGGAACCAGGACGAACAACAACCGCAGCAGCTGGAGTGGACGGAGCCGGAGTAGCAGGAGGACCCGGGGAAAACGGAGGAGGAGAAATGAGGGGGGCAACGAAAATGACAAACGAATCGGATCCTGAAACGTGGCTTGCGCCGGGGCAAAATGCGGATCCGAAATGAACCCCACGCTGCAGCAAAAACGCAATTTTGAAATAACGCAAACCATCGGATTGTAGCATGCCATAAAGAACACTCAAAGTTTCAAGCCGTGTGCACAAGAGCCGTACTCGGGGAGGGCTCAAGGAATCAGCCAACGTAGATGGTGCATCCCCCCGGCGCCCCCTGACGCTGGGGGACGCTCCGGCGCGTTGAGGCAGAGCACGCAGAGACGCGCGACCTTGACCATCTGCGCACGCAGCAAAGCTCGCAAATCGCCTTCGTTATCCAAAACGGTCGAAACGAAGCCACAAGAGGGTGGATCACAAGCCTGTGGGCCCCCTCGCCGAAGGACCAAGGCCCTACGGAGACTCCCGCGCCGGTGGGAAGTGAGAAGGATAAAACCTTCTCACGTGGTTCGGATGTCCCCCAGCCTTGCGAGCAGTTGTCGGAGCCTTTCCCGAAGACAAGGACAGTTTCGGAGAAGGCACGAAGGTTTCTGAGACATCCCGCCGCCTTCTGTGAAGGCATGTTCCTTCTTAATTCCCCCCGTCGCTCGCCGCCCATCAGTGGGACGCAATGAGGACAGACCTGTACTGTGTATCCTCCTCGGAAGCGCGCGTCCGACCCGATCACATTTTGCAATTATATTGTAGTACCATGGTGACCGAACGGGGTGGCCAGAAATTACTCCGACGGAAGAACCCCACATAAGAATCCTCTGGGCGAATCTGGAAAAAGCCATCACCGTCGTCCTCGTGGTTGGTGAGGCGTCCTGGCTGTCTCTTCTGCGTATATTTCCTCTCGCCTTGGCGCGGGCCCCCCTTCCACTCCTTACGTTGTCCCCATCCTCGCCCCCCTGTTTGTTCCGCGCCCCGCCACCTCCTCCCCTTCCTGTTGCATGAGCGCGCATGTCGATGTTCCTCGGCGCCGTCGCCGCCACGGCCAGCACAGGCGCGTTCTCTACAGGTCACGTCGCGCAGCCGTTGGGACAACCCCGCGGGCCAGGCTGTCGGGACAACCCCGCGAGCCGTTGGCGCGCAAGACCAAGCCGTTGGGACAACCCCGCGGGCTTCGAGCGAGGCGCAGCCGCGCTCAGGCGGAAGGCAGCACGAAGCCCAGCTCTGCCGCGAGCTGCTTCGCCTCCGCCCTGGACAAAACCGTTCTCTTGTCGAACTCCAGGAGCGCCTTCCGCAGGGACGCCGGCGGCCCGCACTCCAGGAACTCTCGCGGCGGCGGCCGCAGGATCAGCATGTTCCGCATGCACGTGGCGCGGGAGAACATGACGTAGAGGTGCAGCCACCACTGCTCGTCCGACATGCCCGTGCGGCCAGCGTCCTCGTCTCTCGCGCAGTCGATGGTGACGCCCTTGCGCAGCGTCTGGCCCTGCGACAGCGTGGAGGTCAGGTAGGACGCGTGCGTCAGGGTGAACCCCGAGCGGCGCACGCTGTGCGCCCCCGAGCTCTGCCATGTGAACTCCCTTTCGCTGGGCCTGAACATCAGCAAGCTCCGCGCCCGCGCCTCGGCCTGGCCGTCGTCGTCGGCGCCTTCGGCGCCCTGTCGCAGCACCTCGGCGACCTGAGGAGCCCAAAAACTTCCTTGTTGCATCCAAAGTGTGGCCTGGGAACTGCGTTCTGGCAGCGCGAGAACCCAACATTGACGACAGTTACAGGTTTTGGATGACCTGCTCGGATTACCAACATGATCTGCGGGCCCCATAGGGAGGGGGCTCCCGCCTGAGACTTCCTCGCAGTTCACTCACAGACGAGGCTCCCGCCTGAGACTTCCTCCATATTCAGGCTTGAGGAGCCCAAAAGTGACGACAGTTACAGGGTTCCGATGACCCGCTCGGATTACCAACATGATCTGCGGGCCCCATAGGGAGGGGGCTCCCGCCTGAGACTTCTTCACAATTCACTCAAAGACGAGGCTCCCGCCAGAGACTTCCTCCAAATTCAGGCTTGACGAGCCCAAAAGTGACGACAGTTACAGGGTTCCGATGACCCGCTCGGATTACCAACATGATCTGCGGGCCCCATAGGGAGGGGGCTCCCGCCTGAGACTTCCTCGCAGTTCACTCACAGACGAGGCTCCCGCCTGAGACTTCCTCCATATTCAGGCTTGAGGAGCCCAAAAGTGACGACAGTTACAGGGTTCCGATGACCCGCTCGGATTACCAACATGATCTGCGGGCCCCATAGGGAGGGGGCTCCCGCCTGAGACTTCTTCACAATTCACTCAAAGACGAGGCTCCCGCCAGAGACTTCCTCCAAATTCAGGCTTGACGAGCCCAAAAGTGACGACAGTTACAGGGTTCCGATGACCCGCTCGGATTACCAACATGATCTGCGGGCCCCATAGGGAGGGGGCTCCCGCTTGAGCCTTCCTCAGAATTCACTCACAGACGAGGCTCCCGCCTGAGACTTCCTCCATATTCAGGCTTGAGGAGCCCAAAAGTGACGACAGTTACAGGGTTCCGATGACCCGCTCGGATTACCAACATAATCTGCGGGCCCCATAGGGAGGGAGCTCCCGCCTGAGACTTCCTCCCAATTCACTCACAGACGAGGCTCCCGCCTGAGACTTCCTCCATTTTCAGGCCTGGGGAGCCCAAAAGTGACGACAGTTACAGGGTTCCGATGACCCGCTCGGATTACCAACATGATCTGCGGGCCCCATAGGGAGGGGGCTCCCGCCTGAGACTTCCTCACACTTTACTCAACGATGATGAGGATGAGGATGATGAGTGGTGGTGAAGATGAGTGGTGAAGAGGATGATGATTGATTGTGGGTGGTGGTGGCGATGATGATGTTTGAATGAGGATGATGCCGATACCGATGATGACGATGATGTTCGTGAGCGTGTGAGAGAGTGCGAGTGATGATGATGTGTGTGTGAATGAGTGCGAGGAGAAGAGGGGGTGAGTGAGATCTCTCTCCTGCGCGGGGGTGTGCAGAGAAAACAAGAACCCCACTTTGGATGTGGGGAAAAACCAGCCAGGAAACACATATATGATCCCGGGCTCCGGGCCCACGGCCCCCCCCCCAAGATGGTATGGTCCCAAGATTCCTCGGGCCCCCCCCCCCGCAGATGGTATGGTCCCAGAGACGACGACGACGACGACGACGACGACGACGACGACGACGACGACGACGACGACGACGACGACGACGACGACAACGGCGACGACTACGACGACGGCGACGACGACGACGACGACGACGACCACGACGACAACGACGGCTGCGGCGGCGACGACGCCGGCGGCGGCGGCGGCGACGACGACGACGATGACGACGGTGACGACGGCGACGACGACGATGACGACGACGACGAGGACGAGGACGAGGACGACGACCTCTGAACCACCACAGCACCACACCACATCCACAAAGGGGGGGAGGAGGGCACCGCAGCGCAGCACCACGCCACGCCCACCTCTGAGCCACCACAACACCACACACCACATCCACAGGGGGGGGAGGGGGGCACTGCAGCGCAGCACCACGCCACGCCCACCAGGGGGGGCGGGGGGGGCCATCGCGCGGGGGAGGGGGGGGGGAGCCAATGGCATCAGCATTGGGGGAGAGGCGGGGGGCCCAAGCCTTGGACCATATATTGCATGTTTTCTCGGAGCGCGCGTCGCCCCCTCTGGGGGAGACGAATCACCCCCCTCCGGGACCAGCGTTTCATCCTGAGTCGTTCGTTGACAGCCATTTTGGGGAACCGAAAAAAAAAACGTTACCGCTATTCCCCGGGCTTCTCACGGGGTGCGATCAGATTAGAAATCCGATGCGAATCCAGTGGTGGCGACAAAGGCCTCCGAAGAGGCCCAATCAAGGGAAAACGAGCAAAGGGCAGTTGACGTATAGGCAACACTTTTTCCTGTCAGTGAGTCGTCCCTGGACGGTCTTGGGGCCCAGCGAGGGCCCCGATAGGCCGAAACCTGTGGCAAAATCTTCCCGCTGGGACCGTGCCGCGAGGCCTGCCGGCGCAATTCGAAGTCGTCGCAGGGCCTGCCGCCGCACGGTTGGCTCCCGCAAAGATCCCCGATCCGCTCGGCTACACGCAAAAGTGGCACTGGGCAAACGTGACCTTTGGTGCGCGGCTTTGCGCGGGGACCGACATGGGGGCCAAGCGGAAGCGCGCACGACACTACTACCACAGCGCGCTCGGCCAGGCCAACCCCGGCGAAGGGTCACTCTTACGCGCAGTCCACCTGGAGAGTCGGCCAGACACGCTCCCGGCGCGCGAAGGCCGCTCCCGGCACGCCGAGGGAGCAGGCGCAGGGGCGCCACAGCGACGAGTGCCAACGGGGCGGGGCGGGCAGGAAAGGCGGCCCCCACCTCTGACCCCCCATGAAGGCGGCGCGCGCGCGGCTGAGCAGAGAGTCCGGGGGGGCGCGGGGGGCTGAATCGGGTTTTTCCTTGTTGCGTCCCAGTCCTTGTTGGCCCGCGGGTCGTGGGCGCGAAATCATAGGGGCGACGATGCCTGAGAGGCAGTGAGGGCCACCGAACAGGGTCCCTCTGGGCCCCCCCCCAGAAATACTCCTAGAGCCCAAGAAGGGGCCATGAGGGCCTCAAAAAATTACCTTTCTCACCCCCCATAGATCGCCGATGGCGCCCAATCGCCTTCGTCGCCGCCCACAAGTCGTTTCCCGTGCCTTTTCCGGTCTGGTGCGTGCTTTGGCTTCTTCTTTATTGCGAAACGACTGATGATGGTCCTCGCCGAGGAAAAACATGCACACGCCCCAGCGTTGCCAAGGTCTTTCTCGGCCCCGCGGGTGGTCTCCGTCGCCGTCGACGCCGGGGCCGGCCTCGCCCTCTGTGCGCCTCTCCACGAGGCAGTCGGGCACGAGCCGGCGCTCGAGCGCCTCTCGGGGCAAGGGGCAAGGGGCCGGGGGGGAGGGCGGCGGGGGAGAGCCGCGGGAGCAGCCCTCGCTCCTCCGCCGATTCCCCGCTCCTCTCCCGCCAAGCAGCCTCCGCCCTCTGCCCTCCTCCCTCGTCCTCGCTCCCTCCCCCCAAGCCCTCCTCTTTCCTCATCGTTCCTCGTCCTCCTTCTTAACCTCGGTCCTCCCTCTTCCTCCTCAACCTCCTCGCTTCTCATTCATTATTCCTCCATGCTCCTCCTTCCTCTCCCCCCCATCCCTCATCTTTACTCCTCTGCTTCCTCCTCCTCCTCCTCCTCCTCCTCCTCCTCCTCCTCCCCTTACTTCTTCCTTCCGCCTTGCATTGCGCAAATGCATTGTTGTTTCATGGAGTACGCCAAGAATCATGCAGCCCTGAGAAATTCAGAGTTGTATGGGGTTTCAACCAAGAAATGCAGCCCTGAAGAATTCAGAGAAATGCAGGTTAAGGGCCGGGGAACCCAATTTCACAAGGATTTCGGGGGACTCTTGGGTATTCCCCGGGATTGCACTGGATTGCCGTGGATTCCAAGGCATGTCGCGCGCGTCCTTCAGTCAAACATGCTCCCACATAGCACCCAAGAAGGCCGAAGATGCCTCCGAAAAGGTCCCAGAGTACCCCGATGCGCCCAAGATGGCCTCAACACTGCACAAAAGGCCCCGAAGACCGTCTCGAGAGCGTTCCAAGAACGTGCCGAAAAGGCCCCAAACGGCAGCCATCACTGATTGTCCGTATGTTTTTCAAGGTTTTTCAAGAACCATCCTGTGGTGTGGGGTCCTCGTTTTGAAGAGACAGCGCCCCGCGTCTCACCTCACCTCACCTCCCGCGCTCCTCCCCCTCCTCCCTCCTCCCATTCCTGCTTCTGCTCGCCGCATGTCCACCATGCCGAAGGCCCCAGCGGCTGGGTTTGCATACGTACCCCCGCTGATTTCTGCACACCCCTCACAAGGATCGTGGCCCCATAGGGAGCTCCACCGAAGGACGCAGCGGCAGGGTTTGCATGCGTCCCCCCGCTGATTTCTGCACACCCTTCACGAGGATCGCGGCCCCATAGAAGGTCCACCAAAGGCCCCAGCGGCAGGGTTTGCATGCGTCCCCCCGCTGATTTCTGCACACCCCTCACGAGGATCGTGGCCCCGTAGGGAGCTCCACCGAAAGCCCTAGCGGCAGGGTTTGCATGCGTCCCCCCCATTTCTGCACACCCTTTCCGAGGTTCGTGGCCCCATAGGGAGCTCCACCGAAGGCCCCAGCGGCAGGGTTTGCATGCGTCCCTCCGCCCATTTCGGCACACCCATCACGAGGCCGCATGGGGAGCTCCACCGAAAGCCCTAGCGGCAGGGTTTGCATGCGTCCCCCCGCCCATGTCGGCATACCCCTCCCGAGGATCGTGGCCCCAGATGTAGCTCCACCGAAGGCCCCAACCGCAGGGTTTGCATACGTACCCCCGCTGACTTCTGCACACCCCTCACGAGGATCGTGGCCCCAGTACAGTTGGCCTTCTCGCCTGCTCGGCGTTCAGACACTCCAAGACGGCCCACGAGGCCCCCAAGATCACCCCAAGAGGCCACCAACAGGGCCCCAAGACGACCCAAGAGACCCAAGACGACCCAAGAGGCGCCCAAGACGGCCCAAGAGGGCCCGTAGACGATCACAAGAGGGGGCCCAGATGGGGAGCCCGAGCGGATATTTCGAGCCCCTGGCCACGAGGGCTCCCCAAGTGCAGAGAGGCCCCCGAGATACCCCCAAGAGGCCTCAAGAGGCGCTGAATCGGCCCAAAAGACGCCCCCGAGAGGCTCCCAAGAAGCCTCAAAACTGCTCTCAAAGGATCCCCGAGAGCGCCCTGAAGAGACCCGTAGCAATACCCCTGCGAACTGGGACCCACGACCCAACACGGTGGCGGGATGGGCCGAAGGCCATTCGATCCGCCGGCCCCTGTGCTTGTCACAGGGGTGCCCGGCGTGCTAGACCCTTTCGGTTTTGGTTCTATTCCAAAACAACTATCTCCCTGGGGCTCTGGCCCAGTCCGCCGGCACCCCGAAAGGCTCTCCAGGAGGTGGTTCCGAAATGTTTTCCTGCTCCAGACGGCTCCCAGATGGCTCCCAAGATGGCCTCCAATATGGCCCAAGAGAGTCCAAGATGCCCCCAAGCTCGCCTGAGAAACCTCCAAGACGGCCCAAGACGGCCCAAGTCGCCTCCAAGAGGCCTCGAAGACGGCCCAAGGAGGCTGCCAAGAGGTTCTCCAGGAGTGCCCGAAAAGGCCAAAATCATGGATTAGCCGTAGGTGTTTGAAAGATTGCGGTATTTGCTTATTTTCGGCCTTCCGACGGCCCAAGAGGGCCCAAAGACGGCCCATGAGGCCTCTCAGACTGCCAAGGAAGCATCCAAGACGCCCTGGAGCACCCCAAGAGAGCCCCAAGTCGGCCCAGAAAAGCCCCCACGACGGCTTATGACGGCGTCAGACGGACCAGGAGCCCACCGAGACGGCCGAATGTGGCCCTAAGACGACCCAAGACGGCCCAAGAGGCCTCCAAGAAGGCCTCTAGAAAGGCCCGAAGGGGCCAAACTCAATGATGTTCCGTAGATGTTCGAATGACGTTGGCATTTCCTTCTTTCCGGCCTTCCGAAGGCCCGAGACGGCCCCATAGCCCCCAACGATCGCCCCAAGATCGCCCAAGGAGGCCTCCAGGATGACCCCAGAACAACCCGAGGCCCCCAAGACGGCCCCAAGAGAGCCCAAAAGCGGCCCATGAGGCCTCTAAGACGCCCAAGAAAGCATCCAAGACGGCCATGGAGACCCAAGAGGGCCCCAAGTTGGCCGAGAAAGAACCCCACAACGGCTTATGACGGCGACAGACGGGCCAGAAGCCCATGAAGACCGCCGAAGATGGCCCCAAGATGGCCCAAGAGGCCTCCAAAAGGGCCTCCAAGAAGGCCCGAAGAGGTCAAACTCAATGATGTTCCGTAGTTGTTTGCAGGATTTTGGCATTTGCTTCTTGTCGGCCTACCGGCGGCCCGAGACGGCCCAAGAGCCCCCAAAGTTCGCCCAAGAGGCTTCGAGGATGGCCCCAGAACGGCCCGAGAGGCCCTTACGACGGGCCCAAGAGGGCCCAAGAGGCCTCTAAGACGCCCAAGAAAGCATCCAAGACGGCCCTGGCGCACCCCAAGAGGGCCCCAAGTCGGTCCAAAGAGGCCCCCAAGACGGCTTATGATGGCGTTCGACGGGCCAAGAGCCCACCAAGACGGCCATCCCCAGAGGCTCCCAAAACGCCCCCTCCTCCTCCTCCTCCTCCTCCTCCTCCTCCTCCACCCTCCTCCTTCTCCTCCTCCACCCTCCTCCTCCTCCTCCCCCTCCTCCTCCACCTCCTCCTCCGCCTCCTCCTGATAATCCCCACCATCACCCCCCAAGCGTTGGATTGAACAACGGTTGGAGAAACACATGGTCCGACAGCTTGGCGGAGCTCTTGCCACACCGCTCGGCCACATGGGCGGTTCTAGAAGAAAGAGGGCCGCGGTGATTCGTCGCAGGTATCTCCGATCACACACACACATAGACGTGCAGAGACGGGAATCTAATATACAACACAAACAAACATAGCATGCTTCTTTCTATATGAATATATATAGATACACATATAGATATGTACACCTTCAAGTGTACCCCATCCAGCTTACAATAAAAATCAGAATGGGGGACCAAACGGTCATTCACTGTCCCTGGGTGCGTGGCCGAAGTGGAACTAAGCGATGCGAAATGTGATTGGTGCGTTGCTAGTAGTAGTAGTAGTAGTAGTAGTAGTAGTAGTAGTAGTAGTAGTAGTAGTAGTAGTAGTAGTAGTAATAGTAGTAGTAGTAGTAGTAGTAGTAGTAGTAGTAGTAGTAGTAGTAGTAGTAGAGGTGGTAGTAGCAGTAGCAGTAGTAGCCGTAGTAGTAATAGTAGCAGGGGTAGTGGTAGTAATAGTAGCAGCAGCAGCAGGAGGAACAGTAGTATAGTAGTAGTAGTAGTAGTAGTTAGTAGTAGTAGTAGTAGTAGTACTATAGTAGTAGTAGTAGTAGTAGTAGTAGTAGTAGTAGTAGTAGTCGTAGTAGTAGTAGTAGTAGTAGTAGTAGTAGTAGTATAGTAGTAGTAGTAGTAGTAGTAATAGTAGTAGTAGTAGTAGCAGTAGTAGTAGTAGTAGTAGTAGTAGTAGTAGTACTGGCAGTAAGTAGCAGTGGTTAGTAGTCGTAGTAGTAGTAGTAGTAGTAGTAGTAGTAGCAGTATAGTAGTGGTGGTAGTAGTAGTAGTAGTAGTAGTAGTAATCGTAGTGGTAGTGGTAGTAGTAGTAGTAGTAGTAGTAGTAGTAGTAGTAGTAGTATTAGTACTCGTACTAGTACTAGTACTAGTAGTAGTTGTAGTCGTAGTAGTAGCAGTAGTAGTAGTAGTGGTGGTAGTAGTAGTAGTAGTAGTAGTAGTAGTCGTAGTCGTATTCGTAGTAGCGGTTTTAGAAGTAGTAGTAGTAGTAGCAGTAGTAGCAGTAGTAGTAGTAGTAGTAGTAGTAGTAGTAGTAGTAGTAGTAGTAGTAGTATAGTAGTAGTATAGTAGTAGTCGTAGTTGTTGTTGTAACTGCTGTGCTTGATGCTGTTGTTGTTGCTTTCGTTGCCCTTGACATTGTTACTGTTACTGTTGTTGGTATTGTGATTGTTGGTGTTAGTGTTGGTGTTGTTGCTGCTGTTACTGTTGTTACTAATGGTGCTGCTGCTGTTATTGTTGCTGTTGTTGTTGAAATTGTTGTTGATGTAACTGTTGTTTGTTGTTTAGCGTGTCCCACTCCCACGACGCAACTCGCGACCCACCCGCCCGCAACCCACCCCGCGACCGGCCCGCGACCCACCCGCGACCCACCCCGCGACCCACCCCGCGACTCACCCGCGACCCACCTGCGACCCACCCGCGACCCGTCCCGCGACCCACCTGCGACCCGCCCGGGACCCACCCGTGACCCTACCGTAGCACCCCGCTGTCTAGGATAAGAGGGAAGGGGCGGGGGGACGCCTGCGGTCTGCGAGGCTGTGAAGAAGCCCGCCGCAGGCGCCTGACTTTTACAAATTATGCAACAAGCCCGCCGCAGGCGGAGATTCACTTGTTAAAACAAGGTGGGTGGGTCGCGGGTGGATCCCGGGTGGGTGGCAGGTGGATCGCAGGTGGGTCGCGGGTGGGTCGCTGGACGGGTCGCAGGTGGGTCGCGAGGTCGCAGGTGGGCCGCGGGTGGGTTCCGAGTGGGTCGCGGGCGGGTCGCGGACCGGGTCGCAGGTGTGTCGCGGGTGTGTCGCGGGGTGGGTCGCGGGTGGGTCGTGGGTGGGTCGTGGGCGGGTCGCGGGGTGGTTGGCGGGTGGGTCGCGGGCCAGGTTGCGGGGGGGACGACGCCAAACAACAACAAACAACGACAAACAACAAGAACAATAACATAAACAACAACAAGAAAAACAGCAGCAACAACAACAACAACAGCAGCAGCAACAACAACAACAGCAGCAGCAGCAACAATCATTCTGAGATTGTTCGTTCTTACTTGCCCGTGTCCTTGAAAACGAGTACCACACACCCTCGATACCCGCCCTTTTTGTATTCGATCACGCCCCCTTTGGGGGGATTTTTTCTCTTTGCGGGGGGCGGCGGGCTTAGACAGGCGGGCAAACTTGAACGAGCGGGCATTTCTTCGTGGGCGTACATGCGCCCGCCATGGGCCCTGCAAAAAGAGGAGGGAGAGAACGAGGGAGTGGGAGGGAGGGGAGGGACGACGGAAGAGGGGAAGCAGCCAGGAGAGAAGGAGCGAACTGGGGGGCGGTTGATTAGAGGTAGAAAGAGAGAGAAAGAGAAAGAGAGAGAGAGAGAGAGAAAGAGAGAGAGAGAGAGAAACATCACGACATATATATATATATATATAAGAGGTAGAGAAAGCGAGAGAGAGAGAGGAGAGAGAGAGAGAGAGAGAGAAAACAAAAAAAAGAGGGGGGAGGCAGGAGAGGGGAGGGAGAAGGGAGGAGGGAGAGGAGGGAGAGGGGATAGGGCAAAGAGGCATAAGGATGAGGGAAGAGAGGAGGGAGAGAGGAGGGAGGAGAGGATGGAGGAGAAAGGAGAAAGAGGGAGAAAAAGCAGGAAGGTAAGAGCGTGAACACTCGAAGAAGTCCTTGGCAAACGCGCCGTTTCAGGAAGTCTCGGGCGAGAGCCCACGACGGGCGGGCAATCCCCTGACGGGCGGGTCGGGCGGGTGGGGGTGGGGCATTCGAGCGGGATGCCCGAGTATGGCGAGAGCGCGTTTCCTAAGTAAATTGAGACTGCGTCCTTGGCGCAGCGTGTTTCCTGAGTGTCGAAAGCGGAATTTTTGCATACTTGCATGGAAGTCACAAGCGAGAGCGCAATTCCTGCACAAAATGTGAAGGGTTCTCTGGCGGGAGCGGGGGTCTTGATTAAATTGCAAGGAAATCTGGATTCAATTGCAAGGAAGTCTCAAGCGGGAGCGCCGTCCCGAGTAAATTGTGGGGAAGTCTCAGATGGGAGCGGGGGTCTTGACTAAATTGCGAGGTAGTCACAGGCGGGAACACCGATCCTGAGTAAATTGTGAGGAAGTCTTAGGCGGGAGCGGGGGTCCTAAGTAAATTTGAAGGAAGTCTCAGGCGGGAGCCGTTGTTGTTGTAATCCGGGGGGCCAGGGGCACAGTTTGAGCATCGAGACTTCCCCTGTCAAAAAACAGGGTGCGAGCGTCGAGGGGCATACTTTGATTGAGAAAAAACAGCATGCACCGGTGAGGGGGAACCATAATTATTCTTCAGAAGTGAGAGTTCAACAACAACAACAACAGAAGCAGCAACAGCAACAACAGCAGCAACAGCAACAACAACAGCAACAAGCGACAACAGCAACAACAGCAACACCAACATCAGCAACAACAACAGCAACAACAGCAGCAACAAAACACACCAACGACAACACCGACAACAACGGCACCAACAACAACAACAACAGCAACCACAACAACGCCAACAACAAACAACAACAACAACAACAACAACAACAACAACAACAACAACAACAACAACAACAACAACACCACCAACACAAACGACAATCCATAACAACAACTACAAAATCAATCCGCATCGCCGAATCCCACGTCACCCACACACCCAGGGACAATGACAGACATCTCGGCCCCCCCCCACTCCGATGTCCACGGCAATAGAAACAATGTGTGTTTATATGATTCCGTGACGACTGCAGGAGAAATGTGTGTTTACATGGTTCCGTCTGCATGCGGTGCACACCAATGAGACAGTACAGAAAAAACAAGCCAATCATCCCATGGCCACCAAAAAAAAAAACAGGCCCACAGACAGTCGGCTCGACCTTCCCACCTGAGACATCTGTTCTGCCCGACGCTGCAGATGGCGGGCTGCGCTGGGCGACGGGGCGTGCGCTCGGACATTGGAAAGCTTAGGTCTAGTAGCAGGAAGTGGTTCAGTGACGTGTGCTCAGGGGCGCCTTCTCCGCGTCATCCCACTGACTGGAGCCGCCGCCGCCCAGAACACACTTTTTTGGTCGGCGGGTCGGGAGCGGGCCCCTTCCGGTCAAGAGCTAGGCGCCCTATTTGGGGAGACAGGGCGCGGGCGGGCGGCCGCCCAGAGCACACACCAACTGCGGTAGACCTGGCGCAGCGATTCTGGGCGTACTGTTCTTGGCTTCGGGGCCCGATCTCTCACCGGCTCCCCCTGCCTGGGGCCCTGGCTATACTTGGATAGTTCCTCCTCCTCCTCCTCCTCCTCCTCCTCTCCTCCTGCGCGAGGTGGAGCCGGTAGAGGAACAAAAGACGGCAACCACATACACTTTTGACGGTCCGCGCGCGTTTGTTGGATCTGCGCTGAACCCCCCTCCCTGGCGTGCGGAGCGCGCCAGGGCGCCCAGCGCAGATCCAGCAAATCCGCGATGGCCGTAACAAGTTTCTGTTCATGCTGCTTTTGGTTCTGCGAGCCAGGGCCCCCCTCCCAACGCCGGCGCGCCTGGCGCACCTGCCGCTCGTGCAGCCCGAGCACCTGCGCGGGAGGGCGGGGTGGGGGAGGGAGCCGATCGCCGAGGCGGGGGGCCGGCGCGGGTCGCTGGCGCCTCTCTGCGAGGCGAGGATTACAGTAGGAGCTCGACCACACGGAGCCTTCCACAAGAAACCCACCCCTGAGACCCCAGGACGTCCATGGATGTTTAGCGTGGGAACGTCACGCCTTCCACTGCAGAAATGATCGCAGCCCAAGAAACCCTGGGGCACCCTGAAGGCAAGCAGGGTGTGTCTTGCCTGTGCCCAAAACCTGGCGAAGAACAGCCTGGCGCGCAAGGCGGGTCGGAGGCGCGCAAACATGGATTAGCGATCCCTGGATTTGGCGTGCGGTCGCCAAATCCATGGATCGGGGGAGGTGCCCTCCTCAAATTGCGGCCAGCGCCGCCTCGCTCGGCGGCGGAAGTGCGCGATGTCCCATGGAAACGGGACCCACCGCTAATCCACGCCCCCTTGATGTCTGCGATCGCCCGAGAGGGGGGGAGCATACACGAAGGTCGGAAGAAGCAGGTAGAAGCATGAAGTAGGAGTGCGGATAAAGTAGATTGGGTTCGGGCCTGCCAAAATGACAATAAACAACAGCCAAACCATATCGATTCTGGAAGTAGGAAGGCGCTTGAAGTAGATCGGGTCCTGGAAATCCAAAAACTTATACTTTCAACGACCCATGGGTAGGGGGGGAGACCGCCTGCCGAGGGCAGGGGGAGAGCCCGCCGGGCCTCGAGGCCTCCGGCGGGGCACCGCAGCAGAGGCCGGAGCGGCCCTGCGGCGCCCCCTCTCCTGCTCCCTGCTCCTTGCGCAGCGGAGCTGGGCATCGCTCGGACGTCCATTCCCCCCTGCGTGTTTTTGTCGGCTTCGTGCGCGTGTGTTTTTGTTCGGTTTCGTGCGTGGCTGTTTCGCCAAGCGATCGAGGCTGCTCCTCGACGGTCCTGGCGCCCGAAGGAGAGAAGTGCGCTCGTCCGAGCGAGGCCAGGGAAGCAAATAGCTGCACGGACCAGAGGCTCTCTCGGAGCTCCGCGCCGCCTCCTCGGAGCATGCCCTGGCGACTGGGGGGGGGCCGAGGCGTCCCCCCGAGAGATATGCCCGGGCCCCCCGCGCCGCTGCCCCTGGTCGCAGGACGTGTGCCGCCGCTGAAGGGGGCCCCAGGACACGCAAGCAGACAGGCACAGATAACCAGGATCCCCCCAGTTTCCCATGTTCTCTGGGCTTCTGTCTCCCCCCCCCACTGCCCATCTTTTCCCCTATGTTCTGGGGAATCGACGATGAATTGTGTCTGTGTGTTTTTCCTCCTCCTGAGCCAAGACGGACCAGAAATGTATCCCCTGCACGCGCGGGGGGCTCGGAGAGCTCAGGCTTCCCAGCCATGCCCCGTGGCAGGCCACCCCCCCTGAGGGTACAGCTCTGTTCTTACGCCGCTCGTCGGTCCACCTGGTCGATGCGCCCTCATCCAGGCAAAATTGTTTTTTGTCGCAGTGTTTATTTTTCTCGCGAACGCAACGAAAGCAACGGACACGCCCAGCTAAAGCCTGGGGCCCCGGCCGGATTGCACCGGTGCGATCTCGGGGACCATCACACAGCTGCACGCGCTGGCTGTGCCCACGCACGCGCCTAGCACGCCAGGCGGGAGGGAGGAGGGAGCGGCGGGAGGACGAAGGAGGGGGGACGCTCACCCAAACAAGATATGGTCGGACATACGGCATAACAACATCCTTCAGAGACTACGGCAGGTTCGTGCCGTGTCGACCTGGGCGTTGGTCCCTGACGCCGCGAGGATCGTTCAACCTTGAACGATCGGCCGTCTCCGCAACGTCCGATCGTTCAACATCGACCGATTCTGGGCCGCCGTCGGCGTTCAACGTTGAACGTCGGCGGCGGGGTCGCCGCCGGTCGACACGACGCGAACCTACCGTAGAGGCCCTCCGCCGGCAAAACTGAAGAGCCTTCGAGAGTACCCTTCCCCAGAATGCACAATACATACAGTTTAGACGAACAACACTAAGGCACCCTCCCCGAACCGACCTCGATCTGCTACCTCGGTCCGACCGTGACGCGCGCGGGGCCTCTGCAATCACGGTGTCCCGAAGCAGAGCTTCTCGTCTGCGCAGCAGGTCAGCGACGACTCGCTCCTGAGGCTCTGTCGGGCAAGCCTCCTCCTCGTAGTCATCGTCCTCCTCAACATCATCGTCACTGTCTCATTTTTCCCCAACCATCCTGTGGTGTTGGGTCCTCGTTTTTGAGAGACAGCGCCCCGCGTCTCACCTCACCTCACCTCCCGCTGCCCCCTCCACTCGTCCCTCCTCCCATCCCTTGCCGCTGCTCTCCGCATGTCCATCCCATTCTGGCACACCCCTCACAGGGTTCGTGGCCCCATAAGGGAGCTCCACCGAAGGCCCCAGCGGGAGCGTCCGCATCGCACCGCCGCCTCATTTTGGCACTTCGTGGCCCCATAGGGAGCGCCACCGAAGATGTTCACAATTGCGGCACGCACAACTGCATATGGTTGGGTCCTTCGCCAGGCTAATTGTCGCTTTGAAAACTCGTCGTCCCTCTCTATTTCTCTCTCGGCGTCTCCTTTTGCCTCGTCGCCGTACTCGCCTAAACCCTCTGCGTCCTCCAACATCTCACCATCTCATCCTCTTCAACCATCTCCACGCCCCCACCCTCGTCTCCATACACCTCTTCCTCCGCCACCGCCTCATTCCCTATTCCTCCTCCTTCCGAATTCTCGACCTCGCCCTTGTCGCCGTCGTCGTCCTCGTCTGCCTCACCCTTGGTGCCCAGAGACCTCGACCCTCACCCCTCGCCGAGCATTCCTTCACAAGCTGTTCTCGAGTCCTGCCCAATCTTCTTCAAGCTCAGCCCAGCCGCGGCGACGAAACAGTTCGTCGACGTCGTCGCCGCCGACGTCGACGACGATAATGTCACCTGGGGAGCAACCACCGTATCAATCACACTCCGCCGTGAGGAAGCCATCAGCTTGCCGCTGCAGAAGGAGCACCGTTCCTTCGGAAAGCCGGTTTATGACATCACGATTCGGGTTTGGGACTACTTGCTACTCGAACCACTCCCCAAGACCAAGTTTGCATCCTGAATCGTTGTCTGACTGCCCAAGGACCAGGCGAGGGCCTCCAGAGGCGACAAAAAGGCTGCAACAAGTTCGTCTTGATGTCTGTCAGCACTCTGTATATCATCGATTGGTTCTGGATGCACGCCGCCGCTTGGTTCATACCCAATGCACGCCGCTGAGTGGATCTACTCGACTGGTACTCAGTGCATCCGAAGCTGCAGGGGCACACCCGAACCTGATGCTTATGCAAATCGTTGTTCCCTGATCGACCGTACTAAGAGGATCCTGGATGTCAGCATTGGCTCAAGATGGGCCGAAGAAGCAGGGATGCAAGGGCAACCTTCATGTGTATGCAAGTCGGCTTCCCCTCGGATGCTGCTCCTTCGCCCCCCCCCGCCCCCGAAGAGTGGCTCCAGCCGAGGCGCTGGTCCTCGGTGCCGTAGAAGGAGCAGAGCAGCAGCCGCAGCCAGCGGGCGAAGAGGCCGCGATCGAACTGCAGGGCCTCTGCAGGGGCCCCGGCGGGAAGCTGCTTCTTCCTCCTCCGCGTCCTCCTCCTTCTCCTCTGTTTTCCCCTTGCTCCTCTTTCCTCGCGTCGCCTCTCTGTCTCCTCCTCATCCTCCTCTTCCTCCTCTTTCCTCCCCTTTCCTCGTTGGTCCAGGGCCCGTTTGCGGTCTACCTGCTGAGGACATTCCACAAGAAATTGAAAAGAGCATCCCCCGCAAAAGAAACACTGTAATAATGCACTACCCCACGAGGTGCAGAATGGCTTGATCTCCGCGACAGCCACATCCAATGAAAATAACAATCACTGGACCCCCCCGAACGAAAAACAAAACATGCCTAAGACGCACTGCGTCGTCACCTAGCAAAAGCCCCATACCAAGAACACCGAGGCGGAGGACAAGCCAGCGCGAGGGGGCAAACACAAACACATCTGCGCACAGCACACGCATCCGCAAGAAGGGCACGCTGGCCTTGCAATTGGAACTGGATGAACAACTTCGGCGCGCCGAGGCCGAGCGAAAAGAAATCCTTCGCCAAGATCGGGCGGCAACCCCTGCGTCCCCAGGTCCCGGGGCCCGAAGCAGTAGCAGGGACGGCCCCTCTAGTTTGACCAATCGGCTTCTGCAGCACGGGCGTCGAGGAGCGGCATCCCGTGCAGGAAGGCCCGCGGCGCACTGCCCGAACGACCCCACGACCGCAACTCCTCCTCCCCCGCCGGAATCTGCCGCCCCATGTCCGTCTCCAGCACGGACCCAGCGCTTTGTGCTCCACACCGGCGCCCTCCCCCGGCACACGGCTGAGCACCTCTACGCCCTCTGGCCATCGCTCGGACGTCCATTTCCTGTGTTTTTTTCTGTTTCGTGCGTGGTTTTTTCGCCAAGCGATCAAGGATGCTCCTCGATGGTCCTCGCCGAAGGAAAAATGCGCACGTCCGAGCGATGCCAAGCCCTCAGCAGCACCCGCAGCACCATGAAGGGCAGACATCCCCCGTGGGGGCATGATCGTCGCCACCAGCAGCGGCGACTCGAGCAGAACCTGCGCACTCGAGAAAACGGCTGCCCCGCACATGAAGCGGATGCCGCAGGCGGCGGCGGGCCGGGGATCCAGCACTTCCCAGCGGCCCGACGCAGGGACGAAGACGTCGGCCTCCAGGCGCAACGTCGACGGCCTGCCTCGATCTGCCGACGCGCGAGCTTCCCAGCCGAGGTCCACGCCGGGCGTGCCGCAGCGCCGCAACGCTGGCCGTGGAGACGCCGAGGCCCTCGGCGTCGGGGTGGAGGGCCACCTTGGCGAGCAGGGCTGGCAGAACCGCGTCCACTCGCTGCGCCGCCTCCCCGCACCCTTCCAGGGCGTCCAGGGTCTCCTCGGCGGCACCGAGTCGCGCACGGGCGCTAGCCAGCTCTGACTGGAGCATCGACACGAGCCCATCGGCGGAGGCACGAGCGCCAGCAACGCTTCGAACGCGCCGTCGGATTCCTCCACCTTCAACCGCTGCACACGCTGCGGGCGAGGAGGTGGCGTCGGGAGCCATGGCTGAGCCAAAATGGCTACGGTCTCCTCATCTTTCCACCTCCTCCTCCTCCTCCTCCTCCTCCTCCTCCTCCTCCTCCTCCATGTCCTCCTCCTCCTCCTCCATCTCCTCCTCCTCCTCCTCCTCCTCCTCCTCCTCGCTTTCCCCCCTGGCGTAGCAATGCTTTCGAGTCGTGCGCTCTGGATTAGTCTCGGGCCCCAGGACCATCACGGATCGATGCGGCTCGCGACATGCATCAGAACAGTTGGATTCAGAGCTCTGGTCGCGCCTTTTCGCACTGCTGCGATGTCGTGCGCAGCTAACTCCCCCTCGACGCCATGCCGCCCACCTGCTCCCCCTCCTCCCCTCGCTAGCCGTCGCCGTCGCCGTCGGCCTCCACCCCCTGCTCCTCCTCTGGGCCCCAGCCCCCGTCGCCGCCCTCCGCTTGAGGAACCAAGCATTGCATAGGCTTGCCGTCGCTCGGAAGTCCATTTCCCGTGCATGTTTCGGTATCGTGCGTGTTTTTTTTGCTCGATGGTCCAGGATGGTCCTCGCCAAAGGAACAATGCACACGTCCGAGCGATGCCAAGCCCCCCGTCGCCGCCCTCCGCTTGAGGAACCAAGCCTTGCACAGACACGCTTTCCCTGAGGTCCACCAGGATCGGCCCCTCCTCCTCTTCCTCCTCCTCCTCCTCGTCCTCCTCCTCCTCCTCCTCTTCCTTTTCCTCCTCCTCCTACTCCTCTTCCCATTCCTCCTCCTCCTCCTCCTCCTCCTCCTCCTCTTCCTCCTCCTCTTCCTTCTCCTCCTCTCGAATCGGCGCTCGGCCCCTCCCCGGCGCGCACAGGCGCGTCGAGGGGGCGGCGCAGGGGAGGCGCTGCGGGGGAGGCCCCGCGCCGCTCCAGGGAAGCTGCGCGGACCTCCGGGGAGGGACGGCCTCTCGGGTCGGGCGAAAGGGGGGGATAGCAAAGGGGGGGGGGGTGAGAATCAGCTCACTATAGCTGACTTTCCCGGCGCCTCCCGGCGCCGGGAGGCAGCCATGTGCCGAGGAATGGGCCCAGCGGCGGGGCCGAAACCGGCTGCATGCAGCGCATTTCGTACCCCCCCCTTTCCCAATCCCCTCCTTTCGTCCGGCCCGAATGTCTACTGAGAGGCAACGATCGGCGGGGACCAACTCAGGGAGGGAACATCGACCTTGAATAGATGAAGGGGCCCCAGGACACACAAATAAATACACACAAATAAAAAGATTCCACATATTTTCCCATATTTTCTGGGTTTCTGTCTTCCCCCCCACTTCCCATATTTTCCTATATTTTCTGGGGAATCGACGATTAATTGTGTCTGTGTGTTTTTTCCCCTCCTGAATAGACGAGAGGCCCCCCGCTGGCAGTGTCCGCACACTCCCGGGCGCAGGCGGCCTGCTGGCCCCGTCGGCGACGCACGGGCGATGGGGGGTCGATGCGCTCCCCACGGAGCCGATCCCTGAAGCCAGCGAGAAGGGAGTACGGCAGGTTCGTGTCGTGCCGACCCCAGCGTTGGTTTTTGACACCGCAGGGATCGTGCAACCTTGAACGATCGGCCGCTGCCGCAACGTCCGATCGTTCAACATCGACCGATTCTGGGTCGCCGGCGGCGTTCAACCTTGAACGCCCGCGCTGGGGTCGCCGCTGGTCGACACGACGCAAACCTACCGTAGCACAGACGGGTGGGTCAGGATAGATGCAACAAGGCTTGCAGTAGTTTTTGCGTCGATGCCACAGTGTGCGGTCTGGACACAAAAACTAGTGGCGCGTGGATGCAATCGTGGCCCCTGCTCCCCGTCGTCGTCGTCGTCGTCGTCGTCGTCGTCGCCGTCGTCGTCGTTGCTGCTTGCCAACACCGCCAACGTCGTCGTCGTCGTCGTCGCCTTCGCCGACGTCGTCGTCGTCGCCGTCCGCACCCCCCGAGCGCCCCCCTTGCGACGGGGTCCCCCATCGCCGGCCTGTGCTTACCCCGCTGCCCCTCCCCCCCTGGGGCATCGATGAAGGGGCGCCCGGGCGCCTTCGCCGGCTCCGGCGCCGGGGCGGCGCGCTGTGGAGGGACGGGACGCATGGAAACGAAGACGGGCGGGGACGACGACGACGACGACGACGACGACGACGACGGTGGCGGCAAGCGGCGACGACGACGACGACGACGGCGGCGACGACGGCGACGACGACAACGACGACGACGACGGCGACGACGGCGATGACGACGACGACGTCGGTGGCGGCGACGACGACGGCTACGACGACGGCGACGGCGTCGGCGGCGACGACAGTGACGGCGACGGCAGCGGCGGCGGCGACGCCGCTGACGACGACGACGCCTACGCCACCCCTCATCGCCCCTGCCAGTGCCGCCGAAGGTGCCAAAAGCCACGGCGGCGCCGTGGTCGAGAACGAGAGCGACACGTCAGCTGGCATCGAATCGGGAAACCGCATCGGGAGGTCGGATCCAACGGGGGGGGGCGAGGGCCGAATCGGGACCTGGTCTGGAAGTCGAGATCGAATCGGCACAGGTCGGTGCCCAAGCGGCAAGGGCGGTCAACCTCGAACTCCGAGCTCGGATCCCATCGGAATGCCAGGTAGCCCGACTTCGCCCGGCGGCCCCTGGGGGGGAGACCGAACAAAAACAAACTCTTGGCCCTCACAGCACGAACGGGGGCTGAAGGAGGGCCCAGGCGGCCCCGGAGGCGGAGGAGGAGGAGGAGGAAGAGGATGGGGGTGGAGGAGGAGGAGGAGGAGGAGGAGGAGGAGGAGGAGGAGGAGGAGGAGGAGGGAGGAGGAGTGGATGAGGAGAGGAGGGAGGGGAGGAGGGGGAGGAGGGGGAGGAGGAGGAGGATGAGGAGGAGAAGGAGGGAGGAGGAGGAGGAGGGGAGAGAGGGGAGGCGGAGGAGGAGGAGGAGGAGCAGGAGGAGGAGGGGGAGCAGGAGGAGGAGGAGGAGGAGGAGGAGGGGGAGGAGGAGGCCCCCTGGGGAGGCCCACGGACAGCCCCTAGTGAGCAGGCCCCGGGAGAGCGCTGCCGTGCTCGTCTGGGCTCAGTGCTTGTGGGAGTCGGAGGCTCGCCGTGCAGCACCGTTCTCATGCGAGCACGGTGTGGAGCGAGCGTGCGGGTGTGAGCCAGCGCTGCTGCGGTTGCAGCCGAGCTTGCTTGGAAAGGGCACACGCGGGAGGAAGCGAGGCCCTCCCCAGGGCCACGCTGCCGTAGGAAGGAGGGCAGCTAACCACAGGACCCAGGGGTACCCTTGATTTGCCAGGGTCGACCCACTGGTCAAACTCGACTGTAAGGCCCTCCTGCACGGCCGGACCTAAGACAGAAGAACATCCTCCAAGAACAGGAGTCCTGAGTCCCTCCGCCCCTTTCCTGGCGCGCGGAGCGCGCCAGGGCCGGCGCCGGAGGCGTCGCCCCAGTGGCCCCAGCGCGGATCCGAGAAATCTGCGCTGGTCTCCGAGCTTTTATGCTTAT